CGGACGAAAGCACGGACGGGCTGTCGAACGCTTCGCCCCACTCATCATCATTCGCTCCGTGGACGTGCTGTGATTTTGTTTTCAAATATTTCACAAGAAAATGCGCGGCCATGAGGTAAAACACCCGCCTGCCACGCAGACGGCCTTCGGGTTCGAGTTTCACTTCAACACTGATTTTTTTTTTTGAAATATTCAATTTGTATACTTCTCAATTTCTTGGTCGCGGGTGAGATTTTTCACTTGGAAGTAACGACATCGATGACGATGCCGCAATTTCTACGAAGCGAGCACTCAGCGTTAAAACGCGCTTCCGATTCATTGAGGCACAGGCCCTGTGAAAGTACTACGGAGGTTTCAGAGCTGCTGTTGCCCATTCCGAGCACGTACAACACTTCCACCAGACACGGCCCACGAAAAAAAAATATAGAAAGAAAGAGAGAGCGCTAAGTAGAAATAAAATTTCAGACGGAGTAAATCACGTCGATATCATCCGGTTCAAGGCAAGGAGACGAAGCTGTCCTGGTCGCACTGCTCGCCAGAGCGCGCCCCGATTTCTGCGTAGCCCGATTTGTTAGGCTGCGAGCAAAAAGTGTGCGTATAATGCCATCATAAATAACCCCGAGTTGAAATCGCCATTCTTTTGTATTTTCATGTAATCACCAGGTAAGTACACGGCCGCATAAAAAAATTAAAGCAGCTTCTCCCCAGCTCGAAGGAAGTGACAAGCCTCTTCGTTTTCTTATTCTCCTTTACCGTCCTGTCTTTTTTCCCCTTCTATATTTCTAGTTATTTCTTGCTCTCTGTTTCCTTCTCTTTCTATGTATCTTCCTATTTCGCACTTGCTTCCTCTATTTTTATACGTCATATTTCCCGCGTTACGCCAAGCGCGCTAGTTTTTGGCTGCGGACAAGTGCATGATCCTCATCAGGGCGCTCGAAGAACACGAGGAAGAAGATTTCTCCCTGGCGCCAGCACGCGCTCAATGGGCGGCACACGGAGCGTTACTCCAAGTGACGACAACATACGACAGCTTAGCCCCCCAAGGAGGAAGGTCGCATGCTCACTAAGTGTGCTTTAACGCGCCATCTTGTCGTCACCGTTACGGCAGAGAGAGGGAGGGGTTTCTTTACAGAAAGGCAGAGAGGTCGGCCTGAACGATAACCTGCTCTATATATAAAGGCTGCTGCTCTACACTGAGGGAGGGGAAAGTAGAAAAAAAAAAGAGTAATGGATGACAATAGTGAGATAGAGAGGTGAGTATACCTTCCCAGCCGAGAAAACTGTTATAGTCGCGCATATAGTCCAGTTGCTTTTAAAAAGGCTATAACCACTCTTATGACCACAGCTGTACTGTTGGTGTCAGGCCACACGGTCTCATCAGTTAGTGACCGACAGCGAAATCGTTCAGTAGAAGAAATCAGTGTTTGCCGTGCACGTGCATGTATGCTGCGAAATCACAAAATATGCGCTCAAGTGTTCCTGGCACATCACAGAGTGCGTTCCAATACTCACCGTAGGCGGCTAAATAGACAGCTAAATGGACAACGGCCATCCTAAGTCCAATTCCAATTTTTACGTAGACGGCAAAATAGAAAGCTCCGAGAAGACGGCATGGTAGACAAATACGATGCAGGCTGAGATGCAGGCTACATTGTTGTCTGAACAAAATGGCGGCTCAGCGAATCGCTCAGATAGATCAGATTACGCCGCAACGGTCGTCTGCGCACAAGCAGACGCTTCTCCAGACGCTCAATGCGAGTAACATTCATTTTTTTAAAGATTTTAACACGAAATAAGCTAAAAATAAGTTACGTTTGTTTATTTCAGCTTTATCTTCTCGATGTGAGGTGGTGCTTTGTCGCGTAGAAGCCGTGTTCCATTTCTCGGACGGTGCTGTCTTCTAAGCTCTCTGCGTAGACTGTCTGCGTGCTGTCTAAAAATTGGAACACAGCCACAGTGTTCACAATCAGGACCGGTGTCACTGAGGCCGATGGTATGTGTGTAACGCCTTGTGCACGCCGTACCAAGAAGAATGCGGTGGATCGCGTACTTGCCAAGTGCCGCCGCGTCAATTTAGGGGGCATAAGGAACATCATTTCTGGCTCCCATTTGTGAAGTCGCCGTTCCGGTTTGGTCCAGTGCTGAAGTGTGTATAGCTGCGCATCACGCAGCGAACCGTTGCGGCAGACAATGTATAAACACTCGGCGAGATCCACAATAGCGCTGATCAGCGGTGGATACAAGACTTGGCCGCATGTCATAGTATCGCCAGCCACCGCTGTATACCTTGCAACGGTATACCATATGCAAGGCTTTCACTTCTTTTAGTGTGCTATATGTGTTTTTAACTGTTCATTGTTTATTTTGTGTTACCCCCTCCCTTTGATTCTTCGCTGCAGAACTTGAAGAAATAAACTTATTCAGAAAAACGTGTTGTTTGGCAAGTGGGTATAGGCTACTTGCTAACAGACGCTTTTCTGTAGCACTCAGGCACGATCGCAAAGGAAAAAAAAAAACACATGACGGCGAGACAGACGCAAAGTGACAGCTTTAATAGAGACTATATATGTATTGTCGCGAAGATAGGTGTGTTAATTATAATGCACAGCCGCGTCATCAAGATCGCACAGGCTACATGCTTGCGGCATATGAAAGAAAAGATGAAAACAAGCTGTCTTCCGCATTATACAGTAAAACGGGCGTTGCGAGCCATGTCATCCTTTGCGGTCGTGCTTCGTTGCTGATTCAGTTGCGAACGCGCTTGAGGGGCTACACAAAAACGTCTGGTACATAACTAAATGAGTCGAAGTCATATACGCTTTGTCCTCCCTACGGTGAGCCGGTTATAGCCGAATAAAACAGAACGGCCCTGTATCCTCGGAGTAATATTACGGCCGACGCCTTGAATAGCCCGAGCAGGTGTTCGGCAATTTATACGCTCTGCTTCGTGTCGCGATTATGCGGCCCCGAAGGAATCTCGCGCCACTTTATAGCTGCGGGAACACTCATTAATGCGCTCGCAAGCTCTTCTCGCAATTTCCGAGTAGATGAGCAGAAAGTTTCCCAACGAAACTCTGGCGCCGCGATCGTTGAGCCGCAGTGGGAATGAGTACACGGAACCTTCGTGCACGAGGCGTCGGCTTCATTTGTCGCTATGAGTGTTTTGGGTGAAAGAATGAGATTAGAATTGCTGAGCCTTGAAAGGTGCTCAAGTGGTACTGCTGAAAATTCGCTGAACTACGTCTTGCGAGAAAGCGCCTTCAGAATGCGCGGAGGCAAGCGGAGCCGAAAGAACGGAGCTTAGATGAATTCTGCCCAGCATTTCCATGCTGGCTCCAGTGCAATGCCGTGCAGCTATCATAGAGTTATGTATACAAACGAAACTCTATATATGTATGTGAGAACCCATTTATCTTTCTTACGAACACATCGATGATTTACATCGTTACAATTTTGCATCCAACGCACGGCACACTATCTTTTTGTCGAGAGAGCAAACAACGTTGCTTTAGGTTTAACACCACTGCGAGTGCAGTCGAGAGGACGGCGCAAACTTAACGTTCAGTAGGCGGCACACTAGAAAAACCCAGATTGGCGGCGGTTGCAGCAGCCATTGAATGTTCGATGGCATCGAGGGCATTCGGAGAAAGACGTTTAACGGGGCAAGGACGTGAAACGCTGTCACGGTACAAGTGACAATTCAAGCCCTTCGTGCGAATACTCCCATAGCCAATTTGAAATTTCTGAAAGGTGGCCACTGGTGACCATTGGTGAGCGATGAAATATGGCCAATGTAGGAGGCGAAACCGAAACCGGCGCACCAGACAGCGCATCTACCATTCCCTTCGAAAACACCCGCAGTGAGGACGCTGTCTCCCTCGACGTTATCAACCGTCAATTTAGACAGTTCGCTTCCCTTCTGGGCCACTTATCGATGCTCGCTTATCCTCCTCCCTAATGCGAGGGAAACAGTTTCGTCACTGAAGGCGTTTATGAAGTGAGTGGTAGATGAACCGTTTAGTGCATCAGTTAGCTAAATTAACCAGATTTTATCGCTCCGCGGTGATTACCAGTGACCACCTTTCAGAAATTTCAAATATATAGGCTATAGAATATTCGCACAAAGGGTTTGAATTAACCCGTTGAACCATTTCTATAATTAATTTCGTAATTAATGCTTGTGCGTATCTGAAGATGCCTTCTAGTAAAGGAAACTCCGCAGGTAGCACACAGATGCCTTCTTACTGTAATTTCAAATAATATTTGGCACCCTATATCAAATTATATATGGGAAAGGAAAGTATAGGGAGATGTTGTTTGTAGTAGTGATTGTGAAGTGAATGTGAAGAAAGAAAAGTGCGCGAAAAAGATAACATTCCTCTGGCATGGACCGATCCTGCGACTTTCGAATAACGCGTTCTTACTTGACATGTACGTAACAGGGCTACTTTTCTGCTGTGGGTAATTACTTATAACAGGGTTACTTTTCGCCGGTAACTACTGGCTGGCAGTTTGGTGAACATTTCGTTCACTAAACTGTTTCGAAAACGAATTCTTCTTGACTGGCTCCTCCGTCATCTCGGTCCTTTTGAAAACACATGAAACATTTTAACTTTTGGTAACCTCTGATTTTCGTTTTTGCAGTGACAACTTTTCGATTTACGGTTTTCGCACATGCCAAAATTGGTTTGTTTTTGTTTATTTCATGTGCGTTCACGTGAGAGTAAATAAATGGCTGCTTTGTTGCGTCGCGTCATTGCCCCCTACGTAAACTGACGTTCATTGAACTTCAGCTTTCTGTCCGCCCCGTGTCTTGTTCTCTTTTGTTCTATTTTGCTACACGCCTCAGTCTGGCCACAAATATGTACCAGCTCGTCTAGTGCACCAATTTGGACCCAGTGCACAACAGTGAATCTCTTGCGGGCACATTAGTTTACCCCCAGCACACAACTGTACACCTCTCGCCCCAGTATACCACACAGTACACCCAGTACACTCACCGATTTCGACTCGCGTGCCGTGCTGATGCTCCACCCCGACAACCTCGGGAGCAAACTCGTGCTCGGGCGTCAACTCGGGCGTTGCGTAGTACGCACCCATGGTTGTCTCTTCGCTCGTAACGATGGACACTCTGGCGCGCGCACACCAGTTTCGCAGCAAAATGCGAATGCCTCCGGAGACGAGCACAGGACGATGCCGTCACAACACCGAAGAGTTTTACCGACAGGCCAACCAAAATCGCTGCCTACAGACAACCACAACTCTCTTCTTTTGTGTTCCCGTTCGTTTTTCTTTCGCGTTGTTACACCATCGATTAGAAGTAGGCAGATGAAGAAGCAACGGCACAAACTCTGTCCGCCAAGCTCAGAATTAGCGGCGTTCGGCGATCGTGGGAAAACCGAAACCGGAGTCGCGGAGTACTGCGCGGCACTTGCAACTTCCTGGGCTGCTAGTTCGGCGATGATCACTTGCAGAAACTTGTTCAAAGTGGTTGGTCGACAATAGGACACTGGCCGCGCGGAATACGCGTGTCACTCGAAAGAAGTTCCGGTTACGTGAGAACGCTTCCGATCGGAGCCTGCCAGATGTCCGGCAATCGTGAGGAAATCCGAAACCGGAAGCACGGAGAACTGCGCGGCAATTTCAACTTTCTGTACTGCTAGTTCGGCAATGATCACTTGCAGAAACTTGTTCGTTGATCGACAAGAAAACACTGGCTAAAACGTGCAGAATACGCGCGTCACTCGACAGGAGTTTCGATTACGCGAAAAAACGCACACACTCACAGCGAAGGCCGCGTTGCCACTGAAGGCACTTCGCAGAAGACGGGCACAATCACCAGGCTGCGCAGCCTTCTGCACAATCACTAGGGGCGTAATCCCAACGCGTGGTCGACACACAGGACGGTGCTGCACGGAGGCGTGGCGCTCTGTCTAGCGCGCCAGGTACAACGCGTCGGCTCCGGTGTACGAGGCGCGAGCAAAAAACGCCGGGCTTCGTCTTCTGCCGGCGCGGCTTTGCCGTCCTACTTCCCGTCGCGTCCGCTTGGAGCGTCGGCGGCGGGGCGGTCCGTGACGTCCTTCGTGGAGCGCCTAGTACAAACACACGCAACAGGTATATTAAAGGCGAGCGGTCGTCACGCAAGGGCAGACGAGGCCAGCGGGTTCTCCTCGGCCGGTGAAAGTGGTGGTGCTTCTTGAAGAAAGGCACCTAATTTCTGTCTGCAGAAAGGCGACACGGCGCAGTTCCCGTCAAAGTGGTTGATGCGGATGTGCAGACTATCAGTACAGACGGCCATACGCGATCCGAGGGAGGCATCCCAATAATGCCTCTTATCGGAAGGAGATGTTCCTTGCCGATGAGCACTCTGCCGAGTAGCCTCGTGGAAAGCGTGCGGAGCATACGACCTGAGTTGGTCCCACATCGATTCAGGAAACGATGCAGAACAGTGTTAACGTCTTGAATCAAGCGTACACAGCGCCGTGTTCGCGTCTTCTCGAGCTCGTCCCTTCTTGTGCTGTTTCTCCGTTCGAAAGCGGATTCGCTTGGGACTCAGCTTACGTAAGAAATCATTTGAGTGCTAAATGACATTGCACGCGTTGCTCCTACAGAAAAAAAAAACGCATGTTAGTGAAGCCACCTGCAGTGCAGTTACTCGGCGTCTCTCAACCTCTCAACTACACAACTTCCCGGTTTACACGGGACGTGGCCTTACTTACGAATGTACACTTTGCAGAGCTCTTAGCCGACATCACGCGGATCTGCGGCGCAAGTGCAGCACGCAAAGCTAAACCCTGCAGTAATCTGAGCATTGCCGCGAAGCCTCATCGCAGGTGCTTTCTCCGAACGTTATCGTGAGGAAATGTTCCTCCCCTTTGGACTTCCTCGACAAACACTACGGCTGTTGGTTACTTTCGGGTCCTCTGCTGATCGGACGGTAAAAGAAGAGCCTTTTACGGAGTACGAGGAAAGAATAGGATCGCTACAAGGCACGCGCTGCTGATCTCGCGGGAGACATTTTCGCACCGAAGCCGTGATGAGAAAACGAGAGAACATGCGCGAAACGGAAAGGTTGCAGGAAAAGCGAGCGCGGGGCCGATCGAAGACCACGCGGAAGAACCGCAAGATCGACTGAACTCTACGGAGGGGCCACAGCGGCCCTTTCATTCTCAGATACGAAGTATGCTCTCGATTAATCTCGTTTGCCAATAACTTGAAAGGAAGCTCACGCGCGCTGAACGCATGCCGAGATACTTTTTAGGCACCTTAAAAGGGTCATTTTTCGTTTCCACAGTGAGCATGCACTATCAATGCTCTCCACAAACCTCAGCCAGACACGTTCAAAATATTTTACTTTGATTTTAAATCAGGATTAATGTATACTGCGCGGTATAGAAAACACGGACGAGAAGCCAAGACCAAGCTCAGACTATCAACTGATCAACCAAAGGTTTAACCCTATACAGTACAGTGAACTACCCAATAGTATTTTTAATTGCAATTATTAAGTGAAACAATTAAACATCACATTCTAGAACTACTGTTCTAATGACTGAAGCATCAATGAGGCAGTTGTAGTCAACCACGTGGTACATCGAACTGCGCTATTTTCAGCAACGTATGAATTGCGTACGCAGTTTTTCTGAATGATAAACGATCCCTGCGAAATATGAAAAGCATACCACGTGACAGCGCTCCCAGCCGCATCGTAAAGCAGCGCCCTCGAAGAAGCTGATTGAAAGAGTTTCCTTTGGCGGTCGCACATCGGAAGAGACAGCCCATCCACTTAATTGCGATATGGAAGCCTGAGAAAGCTACGTGGCTTTATATATCAGCGATTCATTCCTGCTAGTTAAACGCCGCTTTTCTTACCCGCCTTATCTTGTCCGTGCGTGTGTTGCGCAGCTATATAGTCGTGGGTCACTAGAATGCCAAGACGCTGCCCCGTGCTCGCTACCATGCAGGCTGCAGAAATCAGGCGCCTTCTTCCTCTGCCGATCGCCGCCCGCTGATGGAGCAGAAGCAAAAACAGATCGAGTGGCGAGCGGTGTGGAAGAGCAGCCGACAAAAAAGAGTCATCTGGCCGGCGCGGACTTCCGCACGGTCACTCTCGCCGCGGACAAATAGAGACAATGGGGCGAGCAGGAAAAAGCGAGGCGAATGGCCGCGACGAAAAAGGGTGTCAGGTGTCGGGGCGGCTCCTAGGAACAATGCGGTCTCGGGCGATGAGGGGCCGGACACCTTGCTACACTCGCTTCACCATTTCTTCCGCAGGCGCCATCACGCTTCTGTGGTTACGGCTCGAAGCTAAACACACTTAAACATTTCGACGGAATTCGCCCGTCTCGTTGGCAAAGTTGATTACGTCTTTTGACTTCAACCGAAAGAGAACAGTTCCTAGTCCGGCGCTTCGGGAGGATCATTTTTTCGGGAGATTACGATATGATTCGCATGTACAGTGCGGTCCACTGTCAAAGTGACCACTCGCATGAACACCTTTGATGGTGTTACGGGGTCGTTACGTGGACGAAGGCAGCAGTCGGCTTTTCCGAGGTAAAGCTCTTTATTTGGCCGAACTTGAGGCCACGAAATAGAAACACAAATTAGAGAAAGAATCTGCGCCGTACGCTGATATCGGCGCACAGAGCGTCCGTCATCGATAAAATTGCAAGCGCCAAAGCGCGTCGACGTTTGTGCACTTGCTGTGAAAGATTTCAACGCTATCGACGGCGGCCGCGCACCCTTTGGAACTTAGCTTGACTGTTCGCAATCGCAGCAAAATGGTCTACTACAATCGCGAAGCTTCTCGAACACCGAGGCGTGGTCTGCGCCGAGCATTGCTGACACCAAGCGAGACTGTCACTTTGCCAGCAATGTGCGACCAGACGACGTGAACAACATCTATCAGGTATGATAGATGTTGTCCTAGTGTACAGGACTGGGCGGCAGACTAGCGAAACCGTGATGTTACGTGGTTCTTGTCTATATACGCACAACTTTTTCCCCTCCCCATCATTACCCCTAATCACACTTTTTTAACACGGAAATGTTCTATGCCGCGGTCCACAAAGATTTCAGTGACGTACTTCCATCAAGGAAATGGTCTGAAAAGTAACTTTATAGAAGACAATGAAAAAAGATCCGTCCATGGGAGTCGAACCGACGACATCTTGGTCGGAGACAACAGCTGCCTTTCACAGTACCACGGTCATGCTTTTTTTACGTGTGTGTGTGTGTGTGTCTCGGCGTGTCATGTCGCGTCACGGTTTATCATAAACAGGTATGCGCCACAGAAATCCTCGCCGCCGCTGTCTACTTGGCATATTATGGAGGAGGAGGACAGGGAGGGTATGCTGGCTACCCTGTGCTGGAGAAAGGGTTAAAGGTTCGTCGTTACTGCTAAAAACATCAACTTTCTTTTAGCACCAGTGTATTCACCCAAAACATTTACCGAAGCGCTCAAATTTTTGTCTAAAACTAGAGACACAAATGTGCACCTCTATATGGTAAAAGCCATCTATTTGAAACGCCCCTTCTCGAAACATATATGCATAGTGATAGTGCGTTAGTGGGCCGGTGGCGAGTAAATCAGTGAAGAGTGAACATTTTGCACTGGAAAACACTGGCACTTACTGCCTGCATGCATCGTCCCTCACCGGATTACCCGTTAGTGGAGCTGAGTCACCCTTCTTTTCTCACTGCGTGTATATAGTGCTTCCTCCTAATCTTCGAGCTGGTGGCTGTTCAGACGCACGACCAAGTGGAGGTGATAGTAGTATGCTGTTCAGTTGAGACAAGAATCATATAAGGTACACACTGATACCCCCCCCCCCCTTTTTTTTTTTTTTTTGACAGCGCAGACATTTCCTTTACCGGGCTCTGTGCGGGGTAAGCGCACGAACATTATTGCTTCGTAAGTTTCCTCACAGTCAAAGCTAGTTGCAATGCCTCGGGGTTCCCACACGTTCCACACTTAAGCGGTCGGAAAAAACACATCACGTAGCTTAAAGGACGTGGCGAAAGGTTAGAACCGAGAAGAAGCAAGAACGCGACTCGTTCATAACCTTGCGCCACGCCTTTCAAGTAAAGAGTGCAGCAAACGACCGAACATAGCGTACCATCATTCTTTCTTCTACTGCTGAGATGAGGTACGCTGCATGCAAATTTACCCTCCGTGGTAGATCAACACAAGGTGTCGCATTGACGATCTCGAGGGCGCGGGTTCGATTCCCGGTCACGACGGCCGCATTTGAATGGGAGCGAAATGCAAAGAACACCTCTTGTATTCAGGCAAAGACACCCAGATGGTCGAAGTTCCGGAATACCACATGAGGGCGTGTCTCATGTTTACATCGCGTTTTTCGCACGTCAAACCTTACACGGATCATCTTTCGCGCGGATGGCGGCCGACGCAGCCCTCACTTGAAAGAGACGTCCGTCCCTCGATACAGGACGTCCGAGGGACGTCCTCATCTAGGTTCCTCACAATATAAGAACACTCCGCGATCGTCCGAAAGATCGCGCCAAAGGGCATGGGAACCGTCCCTGCAAGCACTGCGCCGAGCATGCAGTTACACAGAGCGCGGCGGATTCGCTTCGTTTTATCCGTTTCTGCGCGGCACGATGAAATCGCCACTCCACGCTTCAAGGTGCGTCCGTTTGCGAGGCGAGTCTTGACGCTTTTACTCGCTCGGGGACGCGAAGACCTTGGACGCACGTTTTTCGCATTATGCGCCCCGCAAGCTCCACTCGCGTATGCTACATTTCTTTCTTTTTTTCAACTTTCACGCTGCTGTCACTTGCTGAAACGACTTTCACGCAGGTCAGCACTTCCATATTTACACGCTGGCTCATAGCCTTGTATTTCAACGAGTGAGAAAAAAACACACATGCTCACTGCCAATAACAAGCATGCATCATCAAAAACATGTGTTATTGATGTAAGGGCAAAAATAAGAAGCTTAATCAGCGTCAAGCGGAATGGTACAAAATAAACACCAGGCCCGCGTGGAAGACGCCGCACAGTCACAGCGAAAGCTAGAAGAGCGGCCCTTCAGAGCCTTTCAAAACACTCATTGGATAACTACTACAAACCCACTTGCTTGATACCCACTAGGGCATTAATAATAAAATTGTTTGGGTAGTAGGCCGGCATTCGCTATGCAATTTTTCGTCATTCTTCTAAGAAGCTTGGTATCCGCTAAACACTTTCAAGTAATTTTGTGCCAATTGTTCTTGCAGTGGACGATAAGGAATTATGGCTGAAGTGGGTATGCGCCACAGTTAATAGGTGAAAAAAACAAGCTTTTGTAGCGGGTTGGATCATTAGACGACCCACTCGTTACGCTATTCGCATTGTGCGGCGACTGGTTGTTCTTTCACTGTTTTAAAACGCTTTATAAGTCCCATTAACGCAATTGCTTTCCCGACATGAAGCCTGCCTAAAGAAAGTTTGCCAACACGTTGCAAGCACCGGTGTGGCTCAGTGGTAGAATATTGAGCTGGCACCCAAGGAACCCAAGGGTTCGAGCCCCACTGTGTCATTGGTGCTAGGTTTTTTTAATATTTTTACGCGATGTGGTTACGGACACCGGCGGCGGCGGACAACTGCGCGTGACCCGAGTTGTGATCTCATAACAGTTTTCGCTGCAAAACAAGTGGGCGCGCGAGCAGCGCGGCTACTTCTATCTTCCTTGGGAAAGCACAGACCCGAGGCGACTTGGTGTGCGTGCGCGCGCTTTTTAGCAACTGCAAGCAAGTAGGTAGTAACTGCAGCACTTACTATCTTTCCTGGAGCGTTACTACCCTTTTGCTACCTGTTTACCACCTACGTTAGTAAAGAGACACTAGCTGCAACCGTTACAACCGTAAACAGTAATTGGAGTGAAAGAGGTAGTAACTGCAGCCGTTACTACCTTCCTTCCTTCGTTACTGCATTTTGGCTACCCGGCTGATATAATCGTCTCGACGTTTATATCATCATTAAACGAAAAAATGACGCAAAAGATATTCATAGATCAAGAAAAAAAACATTTTGTTTTAAATTACGCAACCGAGATATGTAAACGTCATTCTGATATTGTCGAAACGGAGAAGCACAAGCTAACAAACCATAAGCAACTGATACACGCGTTGTATTAGACAAACACAAAAAGCTTAGTAAACTACAGCAAACTAACAAGACCAGCGGATCAAAATTTTTTGGTCGCAATAATTCCGGAGGACGGTCACAATTAATCCACTGCGGTGTGCTTCCAAATATTATCGTTGTTCTGACACGTCTAACCCCCAAAACGAATATTACATTTTAACGGCTGATATATTAGCCGTGTGAAGCATTGAAATGCACTGATACTATGTTAATGAATACGGTACCTTGTTTAGGCCACTGTATATAATGCTTTGTGGCCCTCTTATAATAAATAGCTATTACATATATTTTTTTCATAAGTAGGGCTGATTAAACGTCTTTTGCTACGTCCACAACACACGTAACTAGGTGGTATGATATAGTGCTCTATAGATTCACATTTGCTATAATTCATTCTGAAACACAAATGCTTCCCTGTGCCAGACATGCATCTGCAAAGTAGGTGCTACACATACCCACGCTTACATCATACTGTAGCGTAAAAAAATAAGGAACTTATTATTTATTTATTTATTTATTTATTTATTTATTTATTTTTCTCAAAGGTCCCTAGCAGAAGAACATTACTATGTATTCTTCGCGTTCATGGCACACCATGCATGATTACCCAAAGTTGTGCATTACTGAGACAATGATTGACCAACAATGCAATGACAAAATAATATGCCCAAACAAATGAATGGGGTAGTATCAGTTACTACTTGTTTCTTAAAAGTTACTACCCACGAGTGGTAACGGCTAGGGTAATAACGGTTACTAAATGCTGGTAGTAACAGCAAAGGTTACCAACTGTTACCACCCTCGCCGTTACAAACTGCGCTTACTACCAAGGCTGTAACATGTGACAAACCATTCCTACCCCAAAGATAGCAAGTACTACTACTTTTTTCTAAGAGTGTAGTCGGATATTAATAATAGACGTGAAAAGAAACAATATATAAACTCGAAATGCTCAAACAATGCAAAACACTTGATTATCAACAGCGTAAGAGTAAACACGAGTATTGTTTAAAAATCAATACTCACATGAGGAGTGTTATAGAAACGTCGTAAGTTGTTGCCGTCACTTGGCGTAACGCAGGCAGAACCGCATGTCGCATAGTCATCCATAGCAAGCACAAGCGCCAAAGAGTTTTGTTTTTCTGGCGCCTTGATGATGATATTAAGCGCGGAGCCCTCTATAGGGGCCCAGGCTGTCGTATTCTGTCATCGCTTAGCGCAGCACAAACGAAACCCCGTGCACAAGTTGAAATAGAAGACGCAAGCGAGAAATAAACAAAGAGAGAAAGAAGAATAAGAATAGACATATAAACAAATTAAATTCAAGAAAGAAAAACACAAAATTTTCTCATGGTATAGTTCTCCTACGAATATAAATGCCCGTCGTTGTGAGCCTGGACGGCTGGAAAACGCAGAAAAACAATTATTCGCCAGGAATAACAATTCCGCTATTTTTTTGGGAACGAGAGGTGGTTGCCTCGGATGGCTTTTTTTTTTTTTTTTTTGCGTGAGAAATAGAGCGAGATCCCAGACACGCTGGAAACGCTTTTTTTTTTTACACCTCACCGGCAAATCATCGACGCGCAGGCGAAGCCGCCTCCGATAGCGTGCGCACCCAGATAACAACGAGGTCTAGTCCTGTAATCCTTGCCTCGTTTTTCTTCGCTGTTCTTTGCGAGAGGCGCACAGAAAAGAGGCGCACTATAGCTAGGTCAGATTTGAACAAACACAAGGCCGCTTCGCACGAAGGCAGAAGAAAAAAGGGGGAGGGCGGTGGAAGCAGCGTCTCGACACCTATACACAACTATACAAGGGTGTCCCAAATAATATGCAGCTCATTTTAAAAAAGCAAAAAAAGAACGTCGTTACTTACTTGAGGCACATCAAGTGCATTTTGGTCCCAGCGCACTGTATACTAGCCGCCAATGCTTTTTTTTTTGTTCGTTACCGTGGTATAATTACTTAGTCCTAATTATGTTTCTAGCTCGACAAATACTCACGTTATCATTCAGATGCCAGTGAGACACGCGTAGGTATGTTTAAGCAACCTCTATGACTGAGCAGTAAGTTCTGCGTCAGCGCTCGTCCTATGCGTTTCTTCGTTCATCTCGTCTATTTGGCGCCGTTTTTCTCTCTTACAATGGTGGGATGAAGTGGTTAAACTTCATATCCAGTTTATAGAAGTCACATAAGACCGGTGCGATAAAGCGATTACTATGTATAACTACATCATGTGCAGTAGAGAATAAACAAACTGGCAGTTGACTCCAAACAGCGCCTCTCCTAAAGAAAAAATGGAGGAGGCACTGTTCCGAATAACAGTTTATTCGACGCCTCTTGAAGCCCCGCGACTCGCTTCGTGACGTCATAATGTGGGCAAGTCACAAAAGAAAAAGAAAAGTGTCCCTGGGCAGAACGAGAAATATTCCTCGAAGGAAAAAGATAAACATACGCGACTGTCAAGTGCCGAGGTTTCAGAGACTTTTCCTGCTCAGTTCTTGGTATTTTTTTTTCTTTGGAATCTTTTCTTGATCGTCCCTTGGAGGAAACTTGCTTGCATGGTTGCACGTTCCCAGCGCAGGGGCTTTTTGTGCTTACGTACACCATCCACGGCATGTTGAATACGGCA